CAGACAGCAAATACATCAGTCCCACAGGTGTTTATCATCATCGTCTAGTGTCACCCACTTCTGTGTTCTCCTTTCCCACCATGGGCAGCACGTGGGGCTGTGATGTTGCCACGGCGACAGTGTCACTAGGCGACAGGAATTTCCCAGCTCTGTTGTAACCTTCCGGGACCACCCGCACGTAAGCGGTCCCTCACTGGCCACAACGCTGTTAGGCGACGCCTGACTGTATTTGAATGCTCAAGGAAACCTTTGCAGTCTGTCCTATCACAGCACCTGGGGTCAGAAATGCCAAAGGAAAAGTCACACAGGATCCAGCCCTACAAGGATGATCTCGTGAGCTAATCCCTCTGCTGCCCACTTCCAAAGAGAGAAGGAACAGGCCAGACTGTCTCCTCCTCCTCCACCTCCACCTCCTCCTCCCCCTCCCCCTCTCTCTCCCCCTCTCCACTGTAGTTCTTGGCACTCACACCTGCAGTTCATAGCAAACCAATCAAAAAATGGACTCAGACTGGGCAAGTTCGTGCTTCAATTAAAATACTATGGATTTTTATGCCCAAAGGAGAAAGTTACAAACGTGAATTATTAGCTTCCAACGGCCATCCAAATCGATGTAAAATATTTAATGCTCCACTTCCTGGTTTTGTTTAACACCGATCTCGCGCTTGGAAATTTCGGTGGCTGTCCTCGTTATGGCTGGGCCACAGAGGAGCAAGAGCAAAAGCCGTTTTTACTTTCATGAGCTGCCGCTTTGATAACCCATGCGTTTACCTCTACGGTAGTCATTTTTTATTGAGGGCTGATACATATTCAAGTATTTTTTTCAAGGTGCTCTCCATATACTGAGCTATTCAGTCAACCCCAGCATGCATTTACTGAGTACCTATTAAGTGCTATGTATCCATTTAGGCATTAGAAATTAAAAAAAAAAAAAAATGACAACCAAGTTGGCAGTCATGGCCCCACGGGAAAAGCAGATAAATAAGCAATTACTATGCAGTGCAATGAATGCTGTGCTGGGGATTAAAAATAATATAGCAGGCAGGGGCTCCCATGTCAGACATGGGGAGCCACTGGCTCTCTTACAAAACCCCACAAAGGCAGGCGTGTCCCCATCTCCACAAAAGCACAGGGCAGCTCCTTTAAGGGGCACGCCGCCTTGCTGTCAGCATCAGCATCTGCATCACCATTCCATCTTAAATCCCCACTCTGGGCTCGGTGTTGCACCAGCCGACTGCATTAGCCGGTCCGGGCATCGATCACTTGTACGCCTGGTATCCTACAACACACTGCACAGCCGGGGCGAAAGGGCCATGGCACTGCCCAAACCAGAACTACAGAATGCACCCTGAAGGGACTCGCACGCTGGCTACAAGGAGCCACCCAAGACTTGCTCATGACAAAAACCAGGGCTGGAACACAGCCTAGGCCAGCCATGGTCATGGACCCCCGGGGATCCTGCTGGGCAGTGATGGTGGCAGAGGGCCTTATTAGGGAAATGGGACTTGGGTCTTAAGATCATGTAAGGTCAGAGGCAGGGGCTGGAAAGGCCCTGTACCGAGAGGTGCCCAAGAAGCTCCCAGGTCAGGCTGAACGACAGCCAAGGCCGTAACCAGAGCCGCGTGGTGGGGCGGGCTGGGCACAGTTGCCCAGAGTTCTAACTGATAAGGAAGGAGAGAGGGCATCTTGGGGCACTTGGCAGAGCGACCCAGGACGACAGCAGATGAAGAAAATCGCAGGCACAAGAATTCCCAGCGACGACAACATGCAACACAAGCAGCTCCTGGTCCAGCCTCCTCCACAGACGGGGAGGAGGTCACCCCACATCCTCCAGAGAACACGGGCCCTGTTCAATGCAGGGGCTTCTTCCTGCTGGGAGCAAATGGCCACTCAAGGCTAGGGCTGCATCTCCCAGAACCAGGATGGCCAGGCCGTGTGCTATCCAGTAAGGGGCCTGTCCCCACAACAGCCGGTACCAGGACACAGAACACTGAGATGCAGGCCAGCTTATCAGCCTGCCTGGGACACTCACATGTCTTGGCCAGTCCTACAACAGCACCTGTATTTGACTCTACAGTACTGATGGAATACTCTCCATGTGTTAGATGATTTGATTTTCAGGACTGTAGGGATGAAGACCCTCAGGTCAGAGGGGGCCACGTGACCTCTTGTTCAAGCTTACAAAGCGAGCATGCGGCTGATTCGGGTTTTGGAGTAGCGTGTCTGTCCAGTGGTGTCCCCTCTCTCTGCTGCAACTGTTACAATGCTTTATAAAGTTCTTGAGAGTTGACAGCTTTTATAGAAGTCCTGGGAAGTAGGCACAGACACACAGACACACACACAGACACACACACACACACACTCTTTGTACATATTACTCCCGTAAGTTTTCCTAAAGTCCAATAACACACAGCATTCTCCTTCCTTAAAAACCCATCATTGGGTGCCGGTTCGAGTCCCGGCTGTTCCTCTTCCAGTCCAGCTCTCTGCTGTGGCCTGGGAAAGCAGTAGAAGATGGCACAAGTTCTTGGGTCCCTGCACCCATGTGGGAAACCCAGAAGAAGCTCCTGGCTTTGGAGTGGCCCAGCTCCAGCTGTTGAAGCCACTTGAGGAGTGAACCAGCAGATAGAAGACCTCTCTCTCTCTCTCTCTCTCTCTGTCTCTGCCTCTCTGTAACTCTGCCTTTCAAAATAAATCTTAAAAAAAAAAAAAAAAAAAAAAGCATAATCCATGGTGGCCAGAGTTGTGGTGTAGCCAGTAAGTCAGCGCCTGCAATGCCAGCATCCTATACAGGCACTGGTTCGTGTCCTGGCTGCTCCACTGGCGATCCAGCTCCCTGCTAATGGTCTGGGAAAGCAGCAGAGGATAGCCTGAGTGCTTGGGCCCCTACTACCCATGTGGGAGACCTGGAAGAAGCTCCTGGCTCCTGGCTTTGGCCTGGCCCCACCCTGGCTGTTGGGGCCATCTGGGGAGTGAACCAGCGGATGGAAGATTCCCCCTCTCTCTCTTGTTTCTCTGCCGCTCCCTGTTCACAACTCAACAAGTCCAAATGGGCAAGTATCTGCCCATTTGCATTTCTCAGCCACCGAGCTCCTGACCTGCTGCCAATCTTCCCTCCATGAATGACATCATAAAAGTAGCATCTTTCCTGCATGTTCCTTGTTTTCAGAAGTGGCTACATCCAAGGCAGACTTAAAAGTCACAGGACTGGAAAAAAAAATCTTCAAAGGAAATGATCCATTTGTCCCACTTTTTGGCAAACATGATAGCTACACAAGATAGATGGTGTGCATAATTTATTCTTAAAAAATTCCCAACTCCCAGTTTTTTTTGAAGCACTCCTTTCAAATTCCTAGATCACATAAATGATTTAGTAAACAACTTGCCAATTAGTCTTGCACAGTGGGGAGAAAAGTTATACACAGAAACGTACACAGGGCCAAAATCAAAGGAAGCAGAGCGCTAGTGACAAGTGAGCAAACCATCTCCCTCATCATCTCGCCTACACGAGCCCAATCACAAACCACCCTCGCCAGCTACAAGACGCCTATTTCTGCTGCCTCCTCATAACACAGAACTTTACAAAATATCTTACTGAAAATAAGGTCGATACAGTGAATCCATAAAACAATCACCTCGCCTAATTGCAATCACCTCTTTGTTACAGAGTTTATATCATCAAGCCACACTCCACAGATAGAATGGAAATACATCCTTCCTCCTAGTCCCAAAGGAAAACTCCATGTACCACTCATCTTGCTGGCAACCACAGAAATAAAGGGATTTAAATCCAGTTAAACCACTCATTTCGACCGCACTCCCTTAAATTTAGATCTATCCATGAAATGTGATTTGTTGAGAACTTTCCTTCTTATTCACAAAAGCCCCATGTACTAGGCTTCCCCTAAACACACGCTCCCATGAACGTTTTGAGTCAACACTAAAGATATACAGAAATACCCCCACTACAGTAGCTTTAAAACATTGCTTTCCTTCTGCATGACCGCTGGACTTTTCCAAAATTTTAGCTATGTGCAGCTTTCGTAATTCCCATTAGGTAATCCAGGGTGTGGGTGTTTTTGAGTTTTTCTCTTCAAGAGGAAAAAGGAAGATTTTTATCAGCACATCAGGTGCGTGTGGAAAAATACAAATATCCATACACACATACTAAGTAAATACGTACTTTTCTGTTTGTTTTAGGATCCTTTTGCCTAGTTCACTTGCAAGGCTAAATGTACCACAGCCAAATTCCAAGTCAAGTGGAGTTTTAACTCTGGTTAGGAACCCCGAATTTTCTGCACAGCTCCCCACTGCCCAGCACCCAGAGCAAACAGCTCTTGGACACCCCCTAAAGAAGCCATTCTGTTCACCTAGAAACTGAAAGATGTCCCACTGAGAATCACAGCGCCCCGCAGCCAGGCCAGCGTGACCCGAATCCAGGCAGCCACATTAGCCCCTCATCGAGCTGTTAAAAATTTAACATGGTAAATGAAACCAACGCAGCCACCCACATCAACGGAGTAATTAAAACCCCGGCTGAAAGCAGTTCCAAAATCCAAGCCCCACGTCCACCGCTGGCCACTCTCCACTTCGGACCTACCCCCTCCCACCCCGCACCCCAGTACCTGCACCTGCGACGCGAAGACCCAGGAACAGGGGGAAGAGTCCCACCTCTGCCAAAGCCCATCAGGTATCCCCACTTTCTGTTTACATCGCTGGCCCCGGCGGCCACCAGATCCACGCCCGGGCCGTGGCCGGACGCAGAGCGCAGACCCCCGCGCCCGGCTCTAGCCCAGGACTCCCACTCACCCAAAATGACTGCGCCCTCGCCCCCGGGGAGCTGTGGTCAGGCAGTTCTTTCTGGACCCCGGGCGCTCGCCGGGTTCGAAGCTCTTCTCTGTACCCCGTGCATCTACTGGAGGGGCCTGGGTCTCCCCACGCCCCCCACCCCACCCCGCCCTCCTTCCACCGGATCCATTCCCACAGCCAGGCACCGTGCGTACCTGCCAAGTTCCTCGCCGGTGTCGTAGAAATCATCCACGTTCTCCTGCCTGAACACGGTCATGATAACCCGTCTCGCCTCACCGATGCCCGGCGCGCTTCAGCTCCGCTGTCCAAACCATCACCACGGCTCCCGCGCCTCCGTGGGCCCCTCATGCATCGGCCTCCAGTCCTTAAACACACATGAGAAAAATGACAACCCCAAGAAGGAAGCCCGCGTTCCTCCCCCCACCAACCCGGTGTCCCTGCGGGGCGGAGGGGCGCGCACCCTTTGTTACACCCGGGCCAGGGACGCCCCCACCCCAGGCATCGCGACGCCGGCGTGCGCCCCACACCTGAGGGGCAAGCCCCCCCCACACACCCCGGACGCTGGGCGGTGGGCGCCGATCGGAACAGGCTCCGGAAGTGCCTGGCCTCTCCCTTTCTCCGCGCGCACGCACGCACGCCCACCCCAATCCCACCTCCAGGGGCGCCGCGGAAGAATGAAGCCCTCGCCCCGGCGGCGCGCGCCGCGCTGGAAGCATCCCTCGCCGGCCTGCTGCTGCGGGGCGCCCCCGCGCCGCCACCGCTCGGCTCTGCGGCCACCCCCTCACCTCCCCTCCGCCAGGCAGTCCCCAGAGGCACATTCCAGGCGACTCCCTCCCCGTTACCCGGCCGACCCGGCGTGCGGCCGCCCCGGGGAGCAAGGCAGAGACGGGAGCGGCCGAGGAAGGCGCGGTCCCCCGTGCCGCGACACAAAGCACCCGGCCAGACCCGCGCCACCTGTTTCGACTCGGCCCGTGGGGCTCCGGGCGCCTTCCCGGCTGCAACCCCACTTCTCCCCCCGTCTGTCTCCTAGGCCTCCTAGGCGCTGCCCGGGCAAACCTCGCGGCGCGGCGGCTGCGAAAGCAAAAGCTAGCTGGCGGCGGGGGTCCCCGGGGGGGGACCGGGCAGCCTCGCGCGGCCACACTCACCCGGGCGCCCAGGACTCCGCGGATCTCTCCGGAGCGCTGTCGGAGGCCGACCATAGGCACCGCGCCTGAGACCAGCTGGGCGGCGGCGGGAGCGCAGCGAGGGAGCGAGCGGGGGGCGCGGACGCCCCGGCGCCGCCTCCAGACCCCGCGGGCCGCGAGGGTCGCCGTGCCCCTCGGCGGCGGGAACGGCGTCTCCCCAGCTCTCGGGCTCCGTCCGGAGCAGCCTCCAGGCTCCTCGCCGCCTTCCGGGAGGAGGACGGCCTGCCGGCGGCCAATGGGGACCCCGCGGGCGGACTGGCGGCGCGGCCCACCCACCTCCGAGCTGCCCCGCCGGCCGGCGCTGCGGGGTGCGCGCGGCGCTCGCAGCTCCTCCCCGCCCGGCGCCGGGCGCTCGGCGCTCGCGGCTCGCGGGCGCGCTCTACCGCGCACACCCCGCACACACCCACTCGCCCCACGCCCACGCCGGAGGGGGAGGGCGCGCCCCGCCCGTGACAGCGCGCGCACGGGAGCCACGCGATGCCTCTATCCGGGGCTACCTGTGTGTGTGTGTGTGTGTGTGTGTGTGTGTGTGTGTGTGTGTGTGCCAGGCCTGGTGCCCCGCTCGGGATCAGGGTGGGAGTCGAGGGGAGGGTGGAACCGCGGAGAACCAAACAGGTTTTGGAAAATCTCTGCTCTCGTGCAGCCTACTGGGTGGTGCAGAGGTGGATGATAAAGGTCGTTTGGGAGAGGGCAGTTCTGTGTTGACAACCAAACAAGTCGGTGGGATGAAGAGTGAGGGGGCAGGGCGGGGCGGCGCGACCTGGGCTGGCTCCAGCAGCAGGTGTGTGGGGCTGGCGTCCCAAGGTAAGGACGTTTGCAACCCTCGAAGCCCACTGGAACAAAGACTCGGGGAGTTGACTTGTGCTGTTCAGTACGCTGTTGGCTGCGGATGGTTTCAAATGTAGCTAGTGCCCGGTGAGACTCAGGGAATTAGAACAGAAGTAGGAATGGAAACCATTTGTTGAGTATTTTTGTAGTAGATACTTGTTCACATGAGAGTGTTTAAATGTACTTCACAAAGTTCATGGGAAAACCGAATTAAAAGGTAAGTTAATCTGGGTGCCACGTGTTTTGAAATCCATGCCTAGGTTTTTCGTAATACCAATTTTAAAACTTCATGAAGTGTGGTTGTTTCATAATACATGTTTTACGTAAACTTCCTGAAGTATGCGTGATTTTCAAATTTTTTTTTGCACCAAAATAAACTTAGTTTTAAATTCCATTTTCAGTGAACTTTTTAAAGTGTCTTTCTGTTTAGGATATATTGCATTAAATAGAATATCGTGTGGAAAATAATTTTACATTTCTTTTTTCCTTTTTAAAAATGTGGCTGCCACTTCTGTGGCTTGCGTTACATTTCTGAAGACTGCAGGGTTCTACTCAGAGACCCCATCTCCTCTCGAGGGTCCTTAGCCATTTGCTTTACCCAGGCCATTGTGGGGAGAGGGGCAGGATGGATGGAATCCCAAGTGCAGAAAAGCTAGAGAGAAATCCGCGTTATTGCCTGGAATAGCAACACTTGATGGGTGAGCCTCTGGGATTTGCCATCAACACCAGTAGTTCCAGTCCCCACACGTCCTAAAACAGGACGGGTCAAGCCCTCTTTGGTTCAGCAGAAAGTTTCAACTATAGAGGTTTTTGGCAACTTAAAAAAACAAAAACAAAAACAAAAAAAAAACTGCCTAATGTGAGCTCCTGGTCTTAAGGAACAGTCCATTTAATGGCCCCCACCCTGAGAGCGCGCAATGCTGATAAATGAGTCCCAAAGGCTCCAGCTTGCGCACCGGTATTAACCTAAGCGGTAGGGTTGAGAAGCAATACAGAACAATCCTGAGAGGTGAGAAACAACGTCAAAAATAACAACAGCAGAAAGGTGATTCATCTGGGAGAAATACAAATGGAGACATCTGTGGAGAGGGAAAGTTACAAGCAAATGTTTAGGAGAGATTTGAAACATTCTTGCAGATGGCTGATTTCTGGATACTGCTTTTCCTGCAAATAATAATAATAATAATAATAAATATGCTTCCCAAGGCAATTGAAAGGATTGAATCTATTTGCAGGCTGCTCAGTCTTCCCTAACTCACTCAACAGGACATTTTCTGAAGGAGTGCAGAACAGAGTGGAATTTGGAGTCACAGAATTGAAGTTACTATCAGTGGGACTGGTTGACAGCTGCCATGATCTTGGCTGACTCGTGAGCCCGAGCCTGAGCGTCCTGTGTGCCCTAATTTATGCAAGCGCTTGGGGGGGGGGGGGGGGAAATGTGGTCATTTAAGAATGTGCCCTGCCCTCAGTGGACGTTGTGACACAGCAGGTTAAGCCCTGGCTTGGGTTGCCTGTATTTCCACATTGGAGTGTGCATTAAAGTTCCAGCTGCTCCACTTTGCCACCCAGCTCCCTGCTAATGCACCTGGGAAGGCAGCAGAAGATGGCCCCAAGTACTTGAGTGCCTGCCCACTATGTGGAAGACCTGGATGAAGTTTCTGGCTCCTGGCTTCAGTGTGGCGCAGTCCCAGCTGTTGCAGCTATTTGGGGGAGTAAAACATGGATGGAAGATACCTTTCTCTCCCTTTCAAATTCTTTTACACCCCTGCATTCAAGAGGTGGAGTCCCACTCTTTTCCCATGAATACACACTGATGCTATAGCGCTTGCTTCTAAAAAGACATGGCGGAGGGTGGGGGGAGGCGGCAGCACTGTGGCTTAGTGGGTAAAGTCGCCACCTACAGTGCTGGCATCCCATATGGGCACTGGTTTGAGTCCTGGATGTTCGTCTTCCAATTCAGTTCTCTGCTTATGTACCTGGGAAAGCAGTAGAAGATGGCCCAAGTGCTTGGGCCCCTGCACCCATGTCGGAGACCTGGGGATGAAGCTCCTGGCTCCTGGCTCCCGATTGGTGCAGCTCTGGCCGTTCCAGCCATTTGAGGAGTGAACCAGTGAATCAAAGATCTCTCTCTCTGCCTCTGCCTCTGTAACTCTGCCTTTCAAATAAATAAATAAATAATCTTTAAAAAAAAAAAGACATAGTGATAATGACACAGTGTAAGTTCGTTCCAAGGTTAGATCTCTTTAATTTTTAACTTTTACTTATTTATTTAATTTATTTAAAAGAGAGCCCATCCACTGGTTCATTCTCCCAAATACCTGGGCCCGTAGAATTCAATGCAGGTGAGAGAGAAAGAGAGAGAGAGAGAGAGAGAGAGAGAGAGAGAGAGAATCATCCACTAGTTTCCTCCCAACACACCTGGGAACCTAGAACTTAATCCAGGTCTCCCAGGTGAGTGGCAGGGACCCATGTTCATGAGCCATCACCCTGCTTCCCAGGGTGTGCATTTAGCAGGAAGCTGGAGCAGGAATTTGAACCAAGCACTTGGAAAAAAATGATATCTTCACCCCTGCACCCAACACTTTGCCTTCAAAGCTGGATGTTAGGAGTCTTTCTTTCTCTCTCCTCTCTCAGCCCTCACTATAAATCCTTCAGCTGCTACGGTTATTCTAGGGCTGTCCTGGAAAGAAATGAGGAGAGACCACATAAAGAACAGGAGATGCCCGAGAAAGCCGGCTGTCCACCCTCACCCAAGCCTCCACCCTGTTACTTATCCTCCTACTCCAAGTTCTGCGAGCAAAATAAGTGACAGTTACTGTTCAAGGTCATTACTTTGGAGTGGTTTGTTTCACGGCAATAGATTAATTTATAAGAAAGAAAAGTTAATAAAATGCAACTTACCCCCCAGGTTCCAGGAAGATTAAATTATTCTCTTGCTTGATCGTTAATTGTTATTTCCACTTTATACTTAGCATTCTTACACTGAATTTTAGCACCTGCAAAAATGGGGACAATAATTGATGCTTCCATGTTCCTCTGGGTGTTTTTGGGAAAATCTAAAGAGATGATGCATGAACTGGGGTTCTATAGATTAGAAAACACATCAGAATGTTGCATGTTTGTTTCCTGTCGTGTTCCAAGCCAAGGGGCTCCTCAGGACATCTCTCCAATAAAAGACAGCAACAGAAAAATTCTCAGATTATGAGATTTCAGCTGCAAAGGACATTCTTGAAGTAGATTATTGATTATGAGCATTTAAAACAATCCTAGATGGGGATTTGGAGACTTTCTCTTATAGCTCTATTATGGTAAAATAGCTTGCTATAAAACCCATCATATCTCAGTGGTAAAGATGGGTTTCTCTTGCCCTCAGCGCGAAGTCTGCAAGGCCTAGTGAGAGAACTGGGCTGCCCAGTGGCCACTGAGAGACCCAGGTCTCTGCCATCCCACAGATCCGTGGTCATCCAGTGGGAGGTCTGAGGAGTTCCTCTTCCTCTCTTGGCTGACAAGAGAAGTGAGAGTCCGGAGAGGAACCCTCCCCACAAGGAGGACCACTTAAGGGGTCAGATTTGACCTCTAAGGTTTAAACTTTGTTTTTGTTTTTAATTGTTGGCAAATGTTCTCAGATCACTCAAAATGGACTCACGTTTATTTACTTTTTAAAGAAAAACAATTTATACTACCCACTAAACACTTGCGGGTTTTTTTTTTTTTTTTTTTTTTTTTGGTTTTTTGCTTTTCTTTTTCTTTTTAGAGGTAGAGAGGGCTCCCATCTGCTGGCCCACTCCTTAAACACTCACAACTGGTGACACTGGACCAGGATAAAGCTGGGAGCTGGGAACCCACTCCAGGTCTCAAGCCAATGAACTTGAGCCATCACGGCTGCCTTGCAGGGTCTGCGTTAGCAGGAAGGTAGAATCAGGAGCTGGAACTTGGCCTAAGACTCAGGCACACTGATATGGGATGCTGGGCTAGGTTCCTTTTGAATGACACGACTCTGGTTTTATCAAGGGCTAATGTTCTAAACGGCCCACCTGCACAATGTCTCCACCCCCACGGTTTCACTGTTAAAGATGTTGTCTATTATGCCTTTGAGCAGAGGCACTTTCCAACTCCTCCCAGCCTTGAGTGCTAAGAGGAGGCTTCCCAGCTCATCGCATGATGCTTCCTGTGGGGAGCAACTCGGACTAGACTGTTACTGGAATTAAGACTTATTCTATGCATCTGCTCTCCCACAATATGGCGCTGGGAGAGAAGTAAACAGCTTCTGCACAGCTGCCTCCATTTCAACCAATAAACTGTGGGGCTTGCTACTGATTGGAGGAGAGCAGCGTACTCGGCGTGTGGGCAGCCAAGTTGGGATTGGCAGAGGAGGACTATAAAGGAGGAGAGAGACGGCATGCACCAGGAACATCTAAGGGGAACATCTAAGGGGAACACCTGTGCAGCCCCCAAGAGAGCCGGCCGGCGGTGTGCCGCTCCCCTGCGGAAGTGGGGAATGTGGCCAGGGGGAA